ATGGCCGAGTTGAGCGAGGAGCCGGTGAGGTTGTTGATGTTGTTGAGGCCCGAGTTGGGCATGCCGGGCACGGCGCCCGGGCCCATGCTGGACGGCATGGTCATGGAGGAGATGGAGCTGGGCGCCGAGAACATGGACTGCGACGACAGCGGGCTCATGGAGTTGAAGAAGGTGAAGCTCTTGGTGGAGAGCGGCGCCGGCGCCAGGCTCTTGGCGGCCCAGTTGTTGTAGGAGTAGCCGGCGGCGTACACGTCCTCGTAGGGCTGCACCAGGCCGCTGAACTGCGGCACGTAGCCGCCTTTGCACAGGTCCAGCTGCTGGTTGCGCTCGCGCTTCCGCCACTTGGCCCGCCGGTTCTTGAACCAGACCTGGGGGAGGGGCGGGAGAAGGGTCAGGGCTCCCGGGCGGAAGACCCCCACCCCGCGCCCCGCCGTCGCGGCCCTGGTCCGCTCCCTTCCCTCTGGGCGTCGCTTCTTTTCTCCCACCGCGGCTTCCGCGCCTGCGCCCTCTCCGCGATGGGGCCTTTCCTGTCCCCAGAACGCATCGGGTTTTTCCTTCTCCCGATCTTTCTCGTCTTCCCCGAATCCAATCCGCTCTCCTCTCTTCATACGGATTCCCTTGTATTCTAGCAAGTATTCGTTTTCTCTCCTCCTCTCCCAACCAGGCCACCGTCTGCCGCCTTCCTCGAACGGGTTCCTAGCTATCTACCAAGGAGTCTGTCCTTTTTCTTCTCCCTCGGTTACAGGAGGTGTTTTTCTTCCCCGAGACATATGACTCTCCGACTCCCCCCGTCCTTCGATCTACTTCGTTACTCACATGGTCTGTTTTCACCTTTATTGGCAATATTTGGTGTTTTCATTTCTGCTCCAAATGTTTACTTTCGTTCGGGCCACCCCGCGATCTGAACCTCTTTCTTCTCCCTCAAACAGTCTGTTTTCTTCTTCATCCCCCATTTTTGACCCTTTTGATTCTTCCCCACGTATTTAGCTTTTTCCTTCTTTCCAAATGTCTGACCTTCACCGCTTCCCTTAAAGAGTTGAGTCTTTTTTTCTTACTTACTCGACCCCTTTGCTTCTCTCTAAAATAATTTCTTTCCTGCCACCTCAATATATGCCAAATGTTTCTCCGCAAATATTTAATTTCCTCTCGATTCTTACTAGTTTCTCTCTAATCTCCCCCATTCCTTTTCTCCCCCAAACTGGTGAGAAACTCTTCTCTCCCCACATCCCGGCCTCCCCCATCCTCACCTCTCTGCCCACCCGTGCCCCTCTGCCCTGGGGTTTTTCTCTCGCTCTGAGCTGTTTCCTGCGCTGGCTTGGACCCTGCACCTCAGCTTCCCCCGGTCCCCAGCACTGACACCGTCTGATTCCACCCCCACCCCACCCCTACCACCATAAACCTGGGCAGGATTAGTGAGTTCAGGATTACTGAGTGCTGTGTCTTCACTCCAAGTCCCACAGGGCTGGTCAGCCTGGCTGGGGAGGGGAGAGGACCAGGGTTGCAGGAAGGAGTCTGTGGGCCAGGTGGGACCTTGGTCTGGCTTGGGAGGTGCTCCCAATATCTTATTCGATATTTGCGCATCAGGGGAAGAAATGATTCTCTTGCTGCTCTGGCAGGAAAGCCTTGCGTCTACTGGGAACCAAACGGGTGGGAAGAGGGAGAATAGCCCCCCCTCCCAGTCTGTTCTTGAGGCCGTTAATCCCCAAAGAGACTGGGGAGGCCACTTGGCCACCGGAGCCACCCCCGCCTCACCTGACCCGAAACCTGTTGGACAGGGTATGAGGGAACGGGTCCAGCTACTGACGGGCTGAGTGGCTGCCGAAGGTGGAGAGTGTCTTGAGACTCTGGAGAAGCTGGATGCGGGATGGGACCACTGCTCCAGGGATTTTGGAGAGCCCCGAGCTCAGGCACCTTTCAGGCCTCTCCGAGGCAGCCAGGCAGGACCTGCCTTTCCCTTTCGTTTTCAGGGAAGGGCAGCAACTCCCGAGGTCCCCAGCGGCAGGCAATCGTCCGTCCAGTCTCTGGCCCGGGGCATCCCGCCAACATCTGAGTGGGTCCTGGGCCCTCCAGGGCATGGGAGAGTCCCCTGGGACCACGGGTCTTTGGGCTGGGGCTGGCGTCGGACCCAAGGGTCAGGAGGGAAGCAGGTCAGAGAGGTTGGGGATCTGCAGCGGCTGAGGGGCGCTAGCGGCCTACCGGCCTCGCAGAGGCGAGGTGGGCCGGGGCCTAAGGTGGGGTCTCCGAGGGAGGGAGCAGATCTGAGCGGTGGGAGCGTGGCAGTCTGAGCGTGGGCCTAAGCTCTCGTCCCGCAGCAGGGGCCGCCGCAGCCCTCCGCGCGGGTGGGTCCCCGTGGGCGCGCGCCCCGAGCTCACCCGTACGCGCGGCTCGGTGAGGTTGGTCCATACGGCGATCTCCTCCCGCATGCTCATGTCGGGGTAGCGGTTCCTCTGGAACGTGGCCTCCAGCTCTTGCAACTGCTGACTTGTGAAGTGCGTCCGTTGCCGCCGCTGCTTCTTCTTCTTGGCTGGGTCCTCCGCGCCACCGCAGCCCGCGCCGCCCGCGCCGCTGTCCTCGGGCCCCTTGGGCTCCCCGCCGCGCTCCTTCTCTGCAGCGAGCCGGACGGGGCGCGGGTCACCTCGGGCTTACGCCTGTGGCGCCCCGTCCCGGCTCCACCGAAGGGCCCACCACCGCGCCGGCGGCCCTCCCGCCCTCCAGGGCCCCTGGGACCTG